GGGGGCCTCGCTGCCCGTATCCCTGCAAGGTTGGGGGCAGCGCGCCAGGAGCCGAGCAAGGGCAGGGAGTGACTGGCAAGAGAGCTCGCGGAGCCCACGGCCGGGAGGCTGGGGAAGCGGAGGACCCCCCTTCACGCTTCCCCCCTCTCCGCTCCTCTCAGCTCCCAGCCCCCCTGGACCGCCTCCGGGAGCCTGAAGGCGAGGGCCCTGCGGGAGGCGCGAAGCTCTTCCTTCCTTCCTTCCTCCTCCCACCTCCCTCCCTTGGCCCTTCCTCTCCAGCTGCGCTCCCGCCTCGCGCCGCTCGGCTCACCCGGACCCAGCGCAGCTTTCGGGACGCCGACAGCCCCAGAGCTGCCCGCTCGCCCCCCGCGAAACAAAGCGACATTCGCAGCAGGAGGCGGCGGTTCTGAGGCCAGTGTCCCAAGCCACCGGGTCCTGAACTCACCGATTGATCCCCGCGCGGGGAGCGCAGCCCCGGCCCTTCTCCAGACTCAGGGCTGTCACTTGCCGGTTCCCCACTCATCACCTCGTTTTTACACTGCTTTCCCTACTTTTCACAAGCCACCTCCTGGTCCAGTCTTCTTTTAAGCCCTGTAACAATTTGCTATTTCCTGGCTTTTCCTTTCTCATCTCCACTCATTTGTTTTTCTCTCCGCTTTTCTAGTACCTCCCGGTCCTTGTCACTAGTATTCATTCCGTTCTATTTCTTCATTCCCTTCACTCTTCCTTTACACGCCCTCCACTTATTCTAATACCGAATTGCTTTTAATTTACTTTTGTTTCTTTGTATCTTTCAGCTCTTCTTTTTGTCTTCAGGCTCGTTCTCATTTCTTCCTCCCCTTTGTTGCCTGCGCCCTGATTCCCTTCTTTCCCCGCCTGGCCCCAGGTTGCTTTCTCTGAGACTCGGTGTCAGGGTCGGGCAGTTCCTTGGGGGTCAGCCCATTCTTCCACTCCTGATTTTCCTCTGTCCCGGCCCCCATGTCTTGCAAGGGGCAGGAAGGGGCGTTGGGGTTCATCTGAAGCACTGTCTTAGGGGTCTGTAAGCAGGGACAGCC